AGAGTTTTAAAACACCAATTTATATGCTAAAACATGTGTCATAAGAAAACTATTTGTGACAGTAAAATAATGCTCAGATTAATCTAAGTTACCAAGTTAAGGATAAAAGTAACCACCAAAGTCCTCATGCCTTCTCCTTTTTAATCATCAGAGGACTGCTTTTCACGCATCAGGACAAGAATGTATGCAGGCTCCCAAAGAGAAAGGTAAATGTGACCCAGTCATCTGAAAACACATTTGTTAGACTGAAATACAAACCAAAAAGCTATGGTCCTCCAACCTCTTTTAATTAACCCTCCCCCCCACTTATGGAAAAATGCAGTTTAACTTTCCTAACCTACAAATACCTCCACTAAAAATATGATTATACCTTTTCCTAAAAAGATACCCTGCAGGCATGTAAGACTGAACCAGTTAATTCTAAGCATTTGCAGGAAGCATAGCAAAATATCAATAATAAAACTTCCAACATCAGATCATGCAAAATCCAGAACTTTTACCCTAAGGGGGGGTTCCTGAAATATTTTCAGGAATACAAATTGCAGCTTCCAGTAGCCACTGTCCACACCCTCTGACAAGTAGCTCCACAGCACAGATGAGTTTCAGTCCTGGTCAGCTGTACTCTTGCCAGAGTTCACATACCTCCCGGGCAAGGAAAGAAAACACGTGTTTTATTGTGCTATTTGTGACCCAGAAAAGGTCCCAGGTGGCTCACAGGATCTGAGAGATAAACACTGGATGGAAGGAAAAAGTGTGAAATAAGAATATGTGGAAATGAAAAAGCTGGAATTTTCTTCCAGAAGAGGAGGTAGAAGCTCTAGGAAGTAATTGAGGAACAATGACACTAGACCAAATGACAAACAAGGTTAATAGTAGGGAAAATAACTTTGGCAAGAGCCCAAAAGAAAAGAGAACTCTAACCTGGAGACCCATTTCCCCTGTCAGAAGTGACCCTGTCCTAGTGCCATGGCTCATTTCCAGGTCTGTTGTACAGTTAAGCCGTAGGAGTCAAAGGTTTCACACTTAACATGTCATGGAAGCTGATGGAATATGGTAACACCAGGTTCATCATGTCCTCTTCATCAATACTATAATCCATGGAAATTGGCACTGGCACTGGATGTGTTTTTTATGAAGCTGGTGCTACAGTAGTCTCCCCAGGGCATTGAGGCACATATTGAACAAACCACAGGATAATATGCAGTACTCCACGAGCCCGTCCTCCTACAAAGTTTTTCTCAAGACAGTAAGGACAAGGAAAGGTATAAAGATTTGGGACACTCCTTGTCTGAAATGATGCATACTTAGTTGTGGCCTTCACACCTTCCATGATATCGTCTGGTATTTGGAACTGAGGTAGTCACAAGGGTTTGAATCTTAAGATAGGAAGAAATCATCTTGGCAGCCATGGCAAGATATTTCTGGTCTCAAACTGTTGCTCTGGCTTTACAGCTTGGAACTTAGGTGTCAGAGTGCTGTGATACAATCCACAGAAAAGTTTCTTCAGCTTTAGACATTTCTACAGTTATGCAGACCAAAAGATGTGCCCACAAGGCACCCTGCACAGCTTCTCAGATACCTACCTTTAAGCACCCAGGACACTTGAAGTGGCCCAGGGGGTCTGCCTGTGTCATGGGCCACAGGTAATGCCCGCACAGGGCTGCTGTTGCACTGCCATCTGGCAACTGCTGCACATTAACTTTTGACACAAATAAGTGCTCTTCTCTCAGGTTCTATACAGTGCCTTTAGCGTTATCTAGATTAGTAGATAAAATGACATGTATATTCCTTAGCTGGCATCCAAAGTCTCCCATTATTTAGCAAGCTTTGCCCTATCTTCAGTTTGGTCATTCCCTAACTAGATAATTCTATATCTTAGTACAGATACAGTGTGTGTGTGTGTGTGTGTGTGTGTGTGTGTGTGTGTGTATATATATATATATATATATATATATATATACACTTTTTTAAGCTTTTATCATAGCACTTCATTTTATATTAGATATACACACAAAGAAAAAAATATCTTTCTTTGACTCTAACTAAAGTCATCTTCATAGTCCCCTTAGACTAAGCACTCCTATTACGTTAAAAATTCTATGTTGATTTGGTGGGAACTATATGTATATATAATATTTTAAAAAAACCTAACTTTAGGCAAATTTGATCCAAAATAGAACTGGAGAGGAAAATACAAAAATAGGACACCATCTTTGCAAATAATACTCTCAGCCAACATGAGGATAAAATATTACATTGTTTTTATCTTTTACTCTTCCTGTGTAATATATCTAATAGTGAATTGTTGTCATTTCTTAAAATGAAATACTGTTAACCAGAATTCTCTCCAAAAAATATAATTTAATGATACAGTTGTATGTGTAATAATGAATCCGAAACAATGAAATATTCTTAAGTACCTTGTGATTCAAACGGAAATGATATAGTCTTCTAATATAATTTTTAGGTTATCTATAAAGGCACTAATGGAACTGTTTACCCTAATATTCATAAACTACTATAATCTATCCAATTCTTACTAGCTGAACTATATATCTCTATCATCATAGAGAAACTGAGGCAAGAGCTACCAAAGCACATGCATAAGGGGTACCTGGAAGAAGAGTTCCCTATTCTAAAAGACTAATTAACACTATACTTCTTTATACATTTTATATTCTGGATTAACATTGCTTGTGTGCTTTAAATTTAAATGCAAGTAAAGAATTACTATATACACATTTACAAAGTGCTGGTTAAAGTAAAATAGTCCTGCATTCTAAACAAAAAGAATATGCCAAAACGAAAAACACTTTTGTAAACAATTAAAATTATCAATTTTGCTTTTCAGTTAAAGTATCTTTACCTATTACTTATCAATAATCAGCAAATTAATTTTCTTCAAGTGAAAGTAATAGTCTATTTTTAAAAACTTATTTCTTACATCCTGTTTAGTTTGTGATTCAGTCTTTTGAAAATAATTTTTCTCACATTAAGCTGACTTATCACTGCCCTATGAGAAGATTAAATATCAACATCAGCTTTCTTCCTCATATCTATCTTTCCTTCCTCTCCTTTTAAAAATTTCCATGAAAAAAACAAAAAGTATTCTCTGAGGTATGTGACTGGAAAACACACCTTGAAAAATTAAAATTCCAAAGGTGAGTTTTATAACATAGTGCCACTAACAAAATTTCAGAGGAAAAAGGCATGAGAAATTACTAGAAGCTGAACACCTTGGTCTGTTATAGATGACAAAATACACAGAATAGTAGTAATACAATGCACATGACAAAATGGAACCAAGTAAAAATGCACATTACAGTCAATATTCCCACTTCCCTTTTATCAAAACTCTATTTGGGAAAAAGAAAATGGATTTGGCCCACAAAAAGAGGATTGTCAGTCTTTCTAGTTTAGAGAGAGCTGAGGGAGGCCTCTTGAGAGGAGATAGACATATTTTAGTTTCTCTTGGCACCATCTGATCTTCTGCAGCTGGGTATTTCCTTGTGGGGGATGAGGAAAATGATGAAACAAGAATGAGACCTGGCCAGGAGAGGTGGTGGCACATGCCTGTAATCCCAGAGGCTCAGGAAGCCGAGGCAGGAGGATCACAAGTTCAAAGCCAGTCTCAGCAAAAGGGAGTCACTATGCATCTCAGTGAGACCCTGTCTCTAAATGAAACACAAAATAGGGCTGGGCATGTGATCGAGTGCCCCTGACTTCAAACCCTGGTACCAAAAAAAAAAAATAAGACCTGCTATTACCAGCTATACTGAGAAGAATAGAAAATATGTCAAGATTTTCTCACTACAAGCATTTTGTGGCCCATAATTATTCATGGATCCCAAGCATATAAATGCCTTTCTTCTAATGAGAATAATTGGCTTAAAATGCTTCAATAATTAGTCTCATAAAAAACAATTTGTATAATAAAACCAAAATGTTTCAAACCGCACAACAAGATTAGGTCATGTTCTCCAAATATAAAAGTAATTACAAGTGAATAGTCATTAAAAACAAAAACCTAAACAGTATATTAAACTAACGAGCTAGAAAAAACACAATTCATAGAAGTCAACAAGGAAAAAAAAGATAATCACCAATAAATTATGGTAAAAGTATCTTGTTATTGTAAAGGCAGTTCAAAGCCAGTCTTAGCAAAAGAGTCACTATGCATCTATTAAATAGGTATATGTTCTTTAATAATGTTGCCAAATATAAAACTTGAAAATTAGCTACTGATAAAGGTAGAAATAATTTTAGCAAGTAAATGATGAAAATTTGGGGGTAACACATGGTATGCTGCATAAAAATTTAACCTTACAATCTTTAAACAAAAAAAACTTATATTTTTAATTGCTATCATATCCGTTTGAATAGAACTTCTCTTCAGCACTTATCCAGAGTAAATAATCAATCACATACACAGCATGAAATTTACTTTTTGTACATAATCTAAATGTTATAGCAATAAGTCTTAATATTTACTTATTTTATATTCAAAATAATCATGTCTTTGTATATTCAAGGGTTAAATTAATAACACTTAATGAATTCATTATGGAAAAATCTGCCTACTTTAATTCTCCCCAGAGAACATTAACAATTAATCTCTAAAAGGTAGACTATTACCTCTTTGGAGGTTTAAAGGATGGTGATTAGTAAGCTAACTGAACAATTTGTAATTGTGAAGAGCTACTACTACTTTTAAAAATTTATACTATTTATTCTGCATTTATACTGAAAATTAAAGACAGGAGACCAAAATAATTCTACAATATCTTCTACAGTATGTTAGTACCACTGGCATTAAAAAAGGTAAAGATAAAAGGAAAAAAGCTGATGGACAGCAATTCTGCTGACAACACAGTTCATCCTCACAATGGATTTCATTTCTTCAGACTACCAGTACAAATCAAGTAAAAGCTAAATTTTGTTAGCAAGTTGAAATGTTGATAAAAATCTTCAAATCTTAAAGATAAATCTTTAAAACTAACCTGGCTATTTCTTCTCGATGAGCAGTCCAATCTCGGATGTAGTCTTCCTGCTCTTTAATCCGGTGCTTGAATGAAGAACTAGTAGGCATTGCTGATCCAGTGCTCTGCAAGCGAGTGGTTTTCAGGGCTGGAGAAGTACGTAGACGGGTATGTTTAGGGGAATTACGGTTTGATCCAAATTCATCTTCTGAGGTGGAAGCATAATCAGTAGGAAAGCGCCTCCATCTTGAATTTACTAAATTAGTTTAATTATTAAAAAAAGAATTATTATGTTATCATTTGAAGGAGATAAAATTAAAATCATGATTTCAAAGACACCATGAGAGTGTACACACAGCACAATTTTCAATAACTGACACACATACCTCACAAAAACCATAAGTCTACTACTCCTTAAATATAGAAACATTACAGTTTGGTGAATTTAAAACAATGAATAATTAAAAACAATTGAAAGAACGTGTTTTCTGCAAGTGTAGTGAATAAACATTCAGATGAAAATTTTTACTAATGATAAAAAACTAAGCAAGCTCTATTCATAAATGTTTATTTTTCAGATCCAAATATTTCTCATTAAAGATATGGATTTTTTTTAAATGACAGCAACAACACCAACAACAAATAAATAAATAAAAACAAGGGAAAAGATATCCTCATGCCACATGGACTTTCAACACAGAGATGATAAAAATCCCTCTTTTCCCAACATACAAATGTGCATAATTCCTGCTGTGGAAATTATGCCTTTATGGCAGAAAAAAAAAAAAAACATTACCTCTGTCATTCAACATCCTGTTATGCTATGGTTGGAAAAAATCTTTTTACATGGTAAAAAACACAACAAAGCATCTTCAGTACAACTCTGCTGCTTTGACACTGAAAGCATATGGTGAAAATAGACAATGGCATAAAATCTACAAAGAGCAAAACTACAAGCTGTTCTCACAACCATCGACATTTAAGGCACAGGAGATACTGTGAATAGTCACATTAAAGAAAGTGGCAATCACTTTCTTATTCAAGGTTAGTAAAGACATTTAAAAATGGTATTGCTGACACATTTAAAAAACCAGGAGACAAATTAATGCACACACTTCACTACTACTGTTAATATGAAAATCCAACATATGAGTAATCTGTGAAGCATAAATAGAAGCTAAAATTTAAGAAAAGTATGTAATGGTTTACTTAGGGTAAACGTACAAAGGCAGGAACCTTGTCAGTTCAAGCAACTAACCTATACCTAGCACTTAGCAATGTGTCTGGCTAGTAAATATTTAATAAATATTTTTGAATGAATAAATTCCTATATGTAAACCATTTGCTTTACTCAAAACTAGTAAAAAGCATAAGATATCCTTGATATTTAAAATAATAAAACCTTAGAACCTGCTATAAGTTTCATTGCCACTAATATTATAAGAGTTTTCTTTTTTTCTTCTATATCTTTTTGTCCCTGTTTCTAATAAAAACTGATACTAAGCTGTGTGGATTGGTAAGGTCCAGAATTCTCTCATCCTTCTGCACTGGAATTTTGTAACTTTTCTATATTTTCCTCCAAAACTCTGTTTTTGCCCAAGGCTCTCTAAGGCTGAGCTGGCTCTTAGATAAAACTAACATACACTGTCATCAGTGTTGGCTTTCCTATAGTAAGGAATATGGCATAAATTAGAGCCTACTCATTTGTCCTGATTCACACCCATATTTGGAACTTCTAGGGTTTAGATGTAGATTCATGAGTACAAAAGAATGATCATATGCAGAAAGTTCATGGTTCTCTGTAAAAGTATACACAAATACATATGCAGAACTTTGGGTAATTAATCACAGATTCTTTGAAGGGGGGCTTAAACACAATTTCTATATGGTAATTTATTAACATAGAAAATACTTTTACCATGGTGGAAATTGACTCGTTTCTAGGCATATGCAAACTCCTATAAATTGAAGTTACTCTGAGACTTATTGAAAACAATTTTATAAAAAGTTTGGAAATAAGAGCAAATAAATTTTAGAAAAAAGTTAAAGACATAGCAAAAAAAAATCAGAAATATATGGGAAACAAATTTGTACTTTTCAATAAAAGCATTTCATTAAATGGTAAATATGAGTTTATATTGATATCTCATTATAGTATTCATAAATAGGAAAACATAATATGTTAGTTCAAATTTCCTGCCTTATGATTGGAAACTACTGTCACCATACCTATAATTGAAAAATGTGTTTAAAAGAAAACCAGTAACAAAGAGTTTTAATAAACTGCAGAATAAATGAAAACATAAATAAGTATCATGAAACTAAATTATTAAGAATAGCATTAAAAGCTGATATATTTCATGAGTGGCAGAGTACATGAAAGCAGAATGAGAATTGAGTACCAAGTGTTATTAATGTATGCAAAATATCAAGTTAAAATATATAAGTACAGTCACTTTAAAATTAACTTTGCTGGGCACAGTGGTGCATGCCTGTAATCCAGCTACTCAGGAGGCTAAGGCAGTAGGATCACAAGTTCCAGGCCATCATTGCAAACTTTGCAAGACTCTGTCTCAAAATAAAAAATGAAAAGGGCTGAGGGTGTAGATAAGTGGTAGAGCACCCCTGGGTTCAATCTCCAGCACAGCAAATAATCATCATTAACAACATCATCATCAATAAAATACACTTTAAATTTTTTGAGTCTCAAGAGTATAAAACTATTACATTTTAAGGAAGAACAGAAAAAAAGAAAAATCCATTTCATATACTTTCTACCTATTTTTAAAGGTTTATGTAGAAGTCAGGTAAGAATATTAAAGAATCTAACATTATCTTTAAAAAGCAACCAAAAGAATAAGATGTATTTTAAAAACAGAGAGAATATCAAATTATCTTTATAAATGGAAAATGTATCCTACAGGGTATACTACAAAGAAAAATGCAAGTTACCTCTGCACACCACTTTGCCTGTGTAACAACAGACTGAGATGGTAACTATTGGGAAAGGGCCTGGGAAAGGGAGTTCAAAGCCAGGACCTCTAACCTGTTATTTTTCAAATAATTTTGAAAACTTTTTGCTTTCCTTAATCTTTGCCTGCAAACTATTAGTAGCTATACACTTTATCTGAAGAAAATTCCTCACAACCTGCTAATGAATACAGAAGAAACTTCCAATTAGAATGTGTTTTTGTTTTTAAGGGGGTTATAGGGGTACTGGGGATTGAACTCAGGGGCACTCAACCACTGAGCCACATCCGCAGCCTTATTTTGTATTTTATTTAGAGACAAGGTCTCGCTGAGTTGCTTAGTGCCTCGCTTTTGCTGGCTGAGGGTGGCTCTGAACTTGCAATCCTCCTGCCTCCGGAGCCACTGGGATTACAGGCATGTGCCATAGCGCCCTGCTAGAATGTTTTGAATTTTCCTCTAAACCTACTTATTTCATAAAATTTTAGAACCAAATGATCTCAGATATTAGACAATCTAAATTCAATTCATAGATTTAAGAAAATGGGTCCAGAGAGGACTTGCATTGCTTATGTTAAAGTGCAGGGCAGTCTACTAACTCGTAGAGTTCAAAACTCATTCCCTGCTATTCCAAGTGTCTTCCAATTAGGTGTTGGAAGAGTCTCTTTTTTTCCATTTCTAATAAAACTAATTTTTAAACAGTTCACCAGCAACTTCTCATGGAATGACAGCTTTTCTGATATCTACTCATGTTGAAGAAAAATTTTACATCTTAACTTTATTCAGCTTAAGCTACCAATTTATGGAAATAAACTTAATTTTATATGATTAGGCTTATTTACTAAAGATTTAATGATAGATCACTAAACTGAATATTTCTACTGAAGGTGTTTGAAATGTCAATGTCTAAGAGGGTTATTGGTTGGCAAACTGCTAGATAAGTCATACATTAAAGTGAGAGAAAGTTCAAGATAGTTTAATTAATCTTGTAACTCACTTTAAACTTATTTTAGTTATGATATTTATTATGAAATTTATTTTATGTATAAAATGTGCAAAAATTCTTCTTGTGGAAATTATAAACTACTATATTCACTATAAAAATAAACTACCATCTATGATGTTTAGAGAATTAAAAAGGAAAAAAATAGTTATTAGTATCATATATCTGTGAATGCTCTGATTTCTTTTAATGTAACTAAACTTTGTTGAACCTAAAATACATGACAACTACAAATTTAGCAAATACAGCCAGAAAATACAGAACTACTTCAGAAAATACAGCCAAATGTGATGAGGCATACTTATAATCCTAGCAACCTGAGAGGCTGAGACAGGAGGATAATAAGTTGGAGCTTAGCAACTTAGAAAGTTAGCAAATTAGCAAGACCCTGTATCAAAATAAAAAATTAAAAGGGGTAGAAATGTAATTCAGTGGTAGAATGCCCCCCTGGGTTCAATTCCCAGTATCAAAAAAAGAGGAGGGGGACAGAAACCACACATTACTTCTTCATACTATACTGGAATATTTTAAAGAGATACTAAATCACAAACATGTTTTGCATGTATATTTATGAGCATATAGCAAAGTTTGTGGGGTAAAATCTGACAATGCTCTATTTTAGCTTTTAATTTGGAGAAAGAATTAACTTAAGCCATGCTTGCTCTATGTTTAGTTTTTACTATTTATAAATTTTGAGAATCAGAGTAAAAAAGGGAAAGCAAACTCCATGCTTTTTGATAACACAGAACTTATGATAGCTTATATTAGGATGGAAGTATACTTAAATATTTTAATGTACTTAAGTGGAGATGAGGTGATAAAGCAAGCAGTGTGGCAGAAGAAATTTCATCAGCTACATATCATAAAATGCAGCACAAAGGAAATATGAATTAAAGAAGTAGAGCCATAAGAAACAATAGAATAACAATACTGGATAAACACAAACAAAACATAGCAGTTAGTTTTCAAATACTTGGCAATAAATTCATAAATAACCAACCTATGCTTGAAGTGTGGAAACAAGGGCTGGAGTAAGAAGGAAAATGGCATTTATTCTTTTTGAAACAATGACTTTACGTTCTCTAGCTTCAGCCCATATCAATTCCTGCCACAAACTATGAATATTATTATCAAATCCCCTAACCAGCAAAGATGGAATGGTGAATAGATGGAGGAAAGCAGCAGTAAAGAGAGGATTAGGAAGTGAAAAATATATAAATATGTATACTTAATTTTATATATATTTATTTATATAAAATATATAAATGGATATTTATATATATATATATAAAGTACCGTTAATTTGGGGTCTTGTAGGAGATATTATGGCAGATGTAAATCAAACAAAATTAAAAAGATAAAATTGCACACCAACTTTTCTTCCACTCTCAACTCAAAACTTAGGGCTCACTTAAATGCTTGTTGACTGACAATAATCATAAATCTTCTAGTCTTTTAACAGCTGGTCTCTTCAGCCACGCCCATATATGAGGCTGATTATGAAGTAATAAGACCATGCTTATACAGGATGTACACATAACACTAGTCACCATGTATTCTCAATGGCTTCAGCTCTGAATATGATATGCATAAAGACAAAAATTCCCAAAGCAGTTAAATTCTGGTGAGGAATAAGACATTCTGTAGATATTACATTCAATTATAGATAATTACTACAGCTAAATGCTATAATAGTACTTTATGAAATAATTCTCGCAATTAACTAAATTTCTACAACCTACTTTGACCAACATGTACTTAGTGATTGCCCCATGAATCCATCCTCTTCTACTGAAATGAATTGAGTTAAGTTTTCACTGGTTTCAACCATAAATAAATGTTACTTTAAAATGTGCAAGTACATAAGACATCTCAAAATAAGTAGACAAAAAGAGAAGAAATACTGATCATTTCATTTAGCTTAAAAGAACTAATAAATGGCATACTGTTTTTCTTCAGGTTCATAAGGACTTTGGAGTATGTGAGGATATTTAAAGGTTAAACACATGCTTTTAAAAGTACAATGCTAATTCCTATTATTTAAACCAGATAATAATTCCCTATGTAACCCTGACATTCAAATCCACCTATGTCACTAACTGGAAAATTAAAATGTCTAAATCATTCCAATGAATTTAGAATCTTAAAATCACTATTTTTCCCCAGGACTTTAATTGGAAGTATATTAACTTTTGAATTTTCCATTTATTAATAAGAAAACAAAACCTGTCTCTTGAATATTTTGGAAAGGCAACAACTAGAAATCTAATTCTTAAAAGATGAGCCCCCAAACAGAACATGCTCATGTTATTAAAGATCTGGACTCAATTTACCTGAAGGAGAGCCATGAGTTGAGGTCATACTTTTGACCTTGGAGTCTGATAGTCGAGAGATACTGTTAGCTCTAATTCTAGGAGAAAATTTATCTGATGGTACTAATCTGGCTCCACTTCTAATGATGGCTTCTGCAGTACGTGAAGAGGCACTACTTCTAGATATTGTAGCTTCAGAGTCACTACGAGCTGATAACGAACCAAGCCTTGTTCTACGAGGCTGAGCCAATAAATCAATCCTAGAAATATTCCTCCTTCCTGTGGGTGGCTTGGATGTAGAACTTGTTGTGGATACTTCAGAAGCAACAGATGCTTTGTCGGCATCAGCAAGTTCACTGTCTGAAGCTTCACCAAGTCGTGCTCTGCGCAAGAGGGAAGTCCTGGTAGGTCGTGGCCTTGGAAGAGTAGTTGACTTACTGGATAACCCAGATGCTACAGGAGAAGTCTTAGATTTTGTTCCTTTACCTCCTTCCAGTTTGGAATGTATATGCTCATCAGTTGAGGTAAGTGGAGTCCTTCCATGAGATTTACAGGAATAAGTTTCCTGATCAGATGACATAATATCAGAGATAGCAGAATGAGGTACACTCGAGGTTTGGTCATCATCTGTTAAATCTACCGAAGGCTGCCTTATTCTTCCACTGGATTGTACAAATTTACGACCGTCTGACCTTGAACCTACATCTGAGGAACGACTTTTTGTTTTTTTTTCTATTTTCTCCCTAGCACCCGAAGATGATGATTTTGTTACATCTTTGGAAGGAGAACTTGTGGAACACCTGTCTTTATAGAGGCTAGTGAAACTCTTTCGTTTTTGGGTTGACTTTCTTTCAGTCTCTCCAGTGACCAGACTGATAGTACTAGCTGTATCCACATCAGATTCTGGTGAAATAGAATTGTCTCTATTATAACTGGGAGTATCTGGGCCTTCATCAGTTTTGTTATCTTCACGCAATTTAGCTTCTAAAAAAGCCATTACTGCTTCTGTGTCTTTTAAAATAAGGGTTGTGTCCATACTAGAATCAGTATCCAAAGAGTCACTTCTTTCTCGTAGTCTACTTACAGATGTTAATGCTAAAGAAGGAGGAGTAGATGAAGTCTGTTTATTTATATGAGGAATAAGTTCTATAGGTATGTTTGGGCTAGGTTTTTCTATAGTGAAGCTCCCTTGTCGCACTAATGACTTGGAGGATTCTTTCTTGTCTCCTCCCTTTGAAGTCTGAGTTTTCAGAATTTCCTCTGCTTTTCTTCTCTTGCTCTCATTTTGTATTACTCTTTCTCCTTTGCTTGTGGAATGTCCTGGAATTTTGTCTGGAGGTTGGGACTCTTGTTTAGAAGTTTCCTCCCTGCATTTATCTATCTGACCTGAAATATTTTTTGAAGATAATTTAGCAGGTGTCCACTGGGCCTGCTCCTTCTGTTCTTGTTGCTGCTGAATTTTTGCTAATGTCTGCTTTACTAAAGAAGCTTCCTTATCAGGTTCACTCTTCTCCTTCCCAGGAGTAGAGTTGCCTATGTGAGGCAGGATTTTATTATCTCCACCATTTACTGTTCTATTCACTTTATTCAGGGATCTGTCAGCATCTTGTTTATCTTTCTGGTGTACCCCTGTTGGTGTTTCTTTCTCCTGCAGTTCTGTGTCTTGCTTTTCACCTATTTCTGACCTTTGTGCTATAATCTTTGCTCTAGAGCTCTCAAGAGACTTGTCTTCATTTGGAAGCTGGGGAAGAGTTCGTCTCCTTCTCTCTCCCTGCCCAGCCAAGGAAGCTACAGATCCAGTTCTTCTCAGGGAAATGCCAGATTCACCAATATCTGCTTCTGTAAAATAAAAACCACAATGAAGGAATTAATTAGATTAAAAAATAAAAATCAAAGTGGTATCATATTACATTAGATTTTGAAGTGTAAGTTAAAAAATGGCAAGTATAAATAGATGAACCATCACTGTTACTAAACAGTTTAAAAAGCAAGTATAATTCTAAGCAAGTATAATTCTATATTTATTAATCTAAAATATTTAGATTAATAAGCTGCCTATTTACAGAGATTCAGTAAAGCAATGTATGAGATGAAAATCAGAACCATCAGTTCCTTTATTTCCTTCAACATATTTGTTAATTATCAAAAACTGTACATATACTTACAATATACAACATAATATTCTGAATATATGCATATATTATAATGTATGCCATCTAAATGGCTAAATTAAGCTAATTTACATATCCATCATCTCACATTAAACTAATTCTTTCTTGTGTAGTAAAAATATTTAGAATCTACTCTCTTAGCAATTTTCCAGTATACATTTTTATTAACCAGACACCATGGTGTATGTAAGAGTCATCCCTACATCTGTAGGGCAATTCACTATGGTCATTCTTTCTTTTGTGACTTTCTGTCCTTAAGGTATACTCAAAAAAAGCAGAATCTGGTATGTTACAGAGAATGCCTAATAAATATTGTTTATTTGCTATGCATTCAATTACATAGCAGAAAATAACAAGATACCTAGCTTGTAATGTACATTATCTACTTGAAAGAATGAAAGTTTAGATTTTCTAAGTACATGGAAAGTACTAGCCATATAAGGTTTTATTTTTTAAATCTAAAGCTGATTAAAATAATTTTTTAAATAGTAAGTACAAGAAAAGGACAGGATGTGTCATAAATTTAGAAATGGAGGGATTTTTAAATCATAGTTTTCTGGTATATCAAGACTACTCATGAAAATACACAACTGCTTTCTCTTTTTTCAAATAAGTAGAGATCAATGATAAAATACATACTTTGATGTTTGGGAGAATTTGAGAATACTTAAGGAAAATGTTCATATTAAAAATGGAACGGATTTCTGAGTAAAGGGGTAAGTTTCTCAGAGAAATATAAATCAACATATAAAGCATTCTAATATTTTATGGATATATGGAGTGAAAATAGTAGATAAAGCTTCTGGGGTTCTTTTTTTCCTCTTTATAACCCTAAAAGACTAGCATTTAAATTTCACAAAAATATAGTGGTTATGATGGAGACAATTTAACTTAAATCATGCTATAATTAATCATGCTGTATCTTACTTTGTTTATTCTTTCATGTTTACATGTCTTTTTTTTAAAAAAGAGAGAGTGAGAGAGGGAGAGAGAGAGAGAATTTTAATATTTTATTTTTTAGTTTTCGGCGGACACAACATCTTTGTTTGTATGTGGTGCTGAGGATTGAACCCGGGCCACACGCACGCCAGGCGAGCGCGCTACTGCTTGAGCCACATCCCCAGCCCCTACATGTCTTACCTTATTCATGCTAATTAAAGAGCCTAAAATACAATGGCTATTTTCTATTTTTGTATTTTTTCTAATATTTACCACACTATCCTGTTCTTAATAATATTCAATATAGGCTTAACAGGAATATTTTAGGACTTAAAGTGAATTTATCACCTTATCTAAATAAATCCACTTAAAACATGATAAAATAGAAATGAGATCATGAAACCTAAGTAACTGGTTTATTATTTTTTAAGAGAAGGATAGAATTTTGCTTTTCACAACTAATACTTAATAATTTTACTGTAGGTTCCTTGGTAAATTTATCTAGTCCTTCTGTCTTTTTTCCCCCTAAACAATGACCAGTTTATGTGAACCAATTTGCAAATGACTCTGCTCCCATCAAAGTTTTTTGGTAATACTACCAATTACTTCTAGTTTCTATGATAAATGTTAGTTTTTCTGGTACATTATTATGTAGCTTTCTCAAAATACTTAGCTAAATAATGTTTAAAAAATTCTTAAAATAGATTTTTTAGGATGCCACAAGCCAGAGAAAAAAACAAATTTGCACTTCCAAGAAAAACAAAGTTACAAATTTACAGACTAAAAAATACCACATTCAGGGTCTGGGATTGTGGCTCAGCAGTAGAGCACTCGCCTAGCACGTGTGAGGCCCTGAGTTTGATCCTTAGCACTACATAAAAATAAATAAAGGTATTATGTCCAACTATAACTAAAAAAAAAAAAAAAATGCCACATTCTTCCTTAAGCATAATTTCTTAAAAGATTTTTTTCAACTCTGTGTCTTCATGTTGAATAAATTTTTCATTTTAATTTTTTATATTGTAAATTGGCAAGTTATAATTGTGTATACTTATGATATTTAATGACATTATGACATATAAAATGTGAAATAATGAAATCATTTTAAAATATTTATATATGTAATATAGATAAGTTCATACATGTACATGCTTCATCTACAAATTATTATCTTCATTTAGGATTATACTTTAATGATATCTGCATCGTTAATCAAAATAAAATCATATTATTCTAAAATAATATAATTGGCACATCAAGGAGGGTAGGAAGAATTTTTACTTAAAAGTAAAAATACAAACTTTTAAAACCATAATTTAATACCAGAAATTTATAACTAAAAAGAAAATTTCCTTAGAATACAGTTTTAAATTCTAACAGGTATCCATTCATCTATCTTTAGAAGTTTTAACTTATAAAGGATAGAAAATATTAATACACATTCAATATAAATACTTTAAATAAATACTTTTGGGGCTGGGTTGTAATTTAGTGGTTGAATTCTTGCCTAACCTTGCATGTATAAGGCCCTGGGCTATACCCCCATCATTATTATTATTTGGAAATTTTCCACTGCTTAAAATACAAGATGCCTAATAAAAATCAGCTTTTTACTTATTAGAGAAATCATATATGCAATACAATCATAGACTATGTGAAATAATTTTAGATTTAATTTACTTCTCACTATATAAATCTGTTTTTCTTTTTTAAAAAACTGATATGTGACTCACAAAAATAGAAAGAGGCAAGGAAAAAGAAAACAAAGAGGAGAAAGAGAAGGAAGGAAGGAAAATACCATTTTCTGAAGGAACAGGTGCAGACAATTCTATTATTCTTTCTTCTTGATCATGTCTTGTATGATTAGCAGCCAAACTAGCCCATTGTGAAACCCAACGTTTGCTTCCAGATGAAGATGTGCCTTCCTGAAAAGAGAAAAACAAGACATCGAGATAATGCAGTCTGGTCAAATCTGATTCTTGTGAAAGAGTTTTAGTCATAGGAACATGCCATACAAAACCATAAACCTTACCTTATTACATTTTCATTTATTAAGTTTTTTCATATATAGAATGAAAGTTCTCTAGGTATTCTCTTTATGATTTATTATTTACTGAAAATGCAGTATAATTTTATGTACTTCTTAAATACTAACAACAGCTTCAAAATAAAGTGTTGGAGCTTGATATTTACTGGTTGCTAAGATCAGCTTTGATACATATCATAGGTTCATGGATAGATATATGATTAGTCCTGACTCCATTAATGAGAACAGGGAGACCTATTCCCAACTTATTATCTAGGCCTCTAAATGTCTCTAGAATTCAGATTGGTTCTAGGTCTTAGGAAGTATTAAATCTACCAGGTTATGTCCTCAGTGATTTCAAAACCCAAACTTTTGACTTCTCTCTACAAAACTTTATAATTTCCAAAAGATGCTAGAAATTTCAGTCTTTATGAATTATTTTATACCACTCTAAACCTAGACCTGCCTGTGTTTAGATCTTTCCTTAGGGGAAGTCATTTTTTAAAACTTAAGAGTGAAACAGAACTTAATTTATTATATGGTTCTACAGACTAATGGTCATATGTTGCTAATTCTTAGGAACAGGGAAATTTGAACAATGTGGAAGATCTAGGTGGTGTATGAAAAAATATATAAATCAAGACAATACAATGATCTTGACATATCATACATTTGATTCAAATGGGGTATGAATTCTTATTTTTCCACGTGTACAGATTACAGGATCACATTGGTTATACAGCCACATTTACACATACAGCAATACTAGTGTCTGTTGTATTCTGCTGCCCTTCCTATCCCCCCTCCCCTCCCATCACCTCTCTCTATTGTCTTGAGCAACCAATAAAAGTAAATAAATAAATAAAAATAAATAAAAATTTTGTATTTGTCAACTATTTTTCTCTTATTGATCTCATTTAATTTTTATTGTAGTTTAATTTCATGATTTCTAGTTATTTAAACTTCTTGAAGATTGTTTTGTATCTCTGAATGTAGCCTATCTTTGTAAATGTTCCAAAGATTATATGAACCATATAAATTCTACTGTTGTCACATGAAATGTTCTATAATTCTCTGGTCTATAAAGTTCAATCACATACAGTTGACTGGCAATGCTGCCTAGTTCAAGTATGTCCTCATTGATTTTTCTGTCCTCTGCATCTACAATTATGATTTGAGATGCACTGACTCTCCAACTTTGTCAAATTCTCTAATACTTTTCTTGCTCATATTTTTGACACTTGTTGTACACACATATATGTTAAGATTTGTCATGTTTGATTTAATAACTAAACACTTTGCTATTTTGAAAAGCCTATATATAAATATAATGCTTTTTACTAAAAAAAAAAAAAAAATCCAAGCCAAGGCTTCATGTTGAAACTACACAGCAACTAGGGAATGGAAAACTATGACAGAAATTTATTTTGAACTATTTGAAACATGTTTTATTTAAAGTATCAGATTTACTATATATTTAATGATTAACAAGCTACATACTGATGAAGTTAAAGATTTCATATACTGTATGACTGATTTTAAGAATAGTAGGTTAAAATAGTAATAGAGAGAATGACATAGATGTAGTGCAACCTATGTATACCAAAGCCTGCTGAACCCTTGAATTTCCTAAGTTTTTGTGGTACGTGCCCACATTTCTGAGTACCTAAGGCTAATTGCACCATGCAAAGAATATCCACTACAGGGGAGGAATATACACTGACACTCACTTATGTAGAACCATTCTGGGAAGAGTTCTAATGGCCAAATAGGTGACTCCTACAAAGGCAGAAACATACTGAGACTATATAAATTTTATTTGACAATGAATAGAGCGGATAGAGAAGACAGCAGGGAGTCTATTTAAGTTTATGTTCATGAAAACCCTTCCTGGATTAATCAAAATATCAGCATATTACCTTAAATAATGATAACCTGCTTTTAATAAATAAATCTTATAAATAAAAAACCAGAATAAAAATTCTCCTAAGAAAAACAAAAACAAAAAAATACTAAAATACAGTTATTGTTTTGATAGTTTTCAGGAAATAGCATACCATAAATAAGTAATTTTAACATTGACAAGCAAACATGCAAGTTTATTTACCTGTCTATAAAATATTCTACTTCCATTTCATGCAAACATAAATAAAATGTATGCCTTACAATTTTCTTTTATTTATATTTCATATTTCTTTACTATTCATAGATTAAAAATTAGTTCCTTTCCTAAGAAATAATATAGCATAATGCATAAAAGAATAAATTAAGAAATCAAAGTTGCTGAAAGTTTAAACTCTGGCTCCACCAAAAAAAAAAAAAAAGTAAGACCCTGGCGAAATAAATTTCTTTGTTACTTTAATTTCCTTCTTTGTAAAATGGCACATTAAAGGCTCTGTTGAATGTTAGCTCTTATTATCTGAACAAATAATAACTTTAGTACTTTTGATTTATATAGATGTTTTACATTTCTTTTTGAAATACCAAAGTGTAATGAAATTTTGACACCATGGCATTCTCTACCAAGCCATTCTTAATTAATCTCACATTCTAATTACAACTCAGGCTCTACTACACTTACTGAAGTATATAAGATATATCTATCAGATAGTTCCTTTCACATGTTTTCTGACATGGTGAGTCTTTCAATTACAAACACAAACTTCCTATAAAGTATAAACTGTACATTTCTTATTTTGTCTCAGAACACTGATTAGGGCAATGAACATATAGATTCTTAACTGCTTATTGAAATATGTTTTTCCTTTAAAAATATTAATTTAAAATAACATAATAATAAAAACTAAGCCAGGCTTAAGGTTTTCATTAGACATGGAAAATGTGTAAAATTTTAGTTTTTGTAAGTTTCACAAGGGGGGTAAATCAATTACTTAAAACTTACAAATGATACAAAGTTATATTTTATATATATATATATATATAATGTATATAAAGAATTAAGTACACAAGAGAGATGTATACCTCTGAGTTGTGAAATACAGATGTAGTCAGTGGTTTTCTTTCTTCCATTACTACTGCAGCAGAACTGAGAGCCCACTCTTTTATCAGATCTTTATGCTTTTCATTGATAATAGGTCTATTATAATCCTGATTGTCATCTACTCCAAATACCTAGAAGAAAAAAAAATAATTTTGCAAATGAAAATCAAAGTCTGAGTACTAGATTAACAAGTGAATTTCATATTAACTGCAGAAGCAAATAAAAATATTCTAAATGAACTTTGACTTCAATTTTTTTTTTTGTGGTGGGGGTACCAGGGATTGAGTTTAGGGGTTCTTGGCCACAGAACCACATCCCCAGCCCTATTTTGTATTTTTTTTAGAGACAGGGTTTCACTGAGTTGCTTAGCACCTTGCTTTTGTTGAGGTTAGCTTTGAATTTGTGATCCTCCTGCCTCGGCCTCCCAAACTACTGGGATTACAGGTGTCAACCACTCCACCCAGGTGTATTTCAATTTTAATAACAAGAAGAACTTTTTAAAAGACAAGATAATACAATTGGAGTATAGCTGAAGAAGGAAACAGGCCATTGTGGTTTATGTCAGTGTGACTATTCTTTCTTAATATTTAGCAAGTATTCATATAAAAATCAGAAATATTTAGGATCTTTTTTGGGCGGGGTTACCAAGGATTGAACCCAGGGGCACTTAAACACTGAGTCACATCCCCAGCCCTTTTTTGTATTTTATTTAGAGACAGGGTCTCACTGAGTTTCTTAGGGCCTTTCTGAATTGCTGAGGCTGGCTTTCAACTTGTAATCCTCCTGCCTCAGCCTCTCAAGATGCTGGGATTACAAGTGTACACCACCTCACCCGGCACATTTATATTTGTTGTTACAACACCTGAATAATTTTGTTAAATATTATAATAATGCAAAGAGTTAGGAAAGATTATATTTTCAACCTGTTTTCAGCTTGTTTCTGTGCTCTATTATTTTCAAGAAGCATGTTGAAATAGTTTATAAACATGATTCTTTTTGTCTTTTCCTTCCCTATTAAGTGCTTAACATTTACATGAGTTAAATTTATATATATTATTTTCTCCGATGCCAATCACAGATTTTATTGTATGATCTTGGCATAAAGTTTAACATTATTCTCAAACTTTATTTGCCTAACAGTTACTTAAGACCTTTCTGTGAAATGCAGATTCCTGGGCCTATACACACAGATCAGTCTTTTCAATAAGCAGATTGTCAATGGTCAACACTTTCGAAAAGTTATAAATGCAGAAACAAATATTCGTGTGCTTTTTTTTTTTTTTGGTAGGAACTGAGTCTTACTCATTTTGTGGCACATGAAAGGCTATGGATATTGCCAAACAGATTGAAAAAGTTTTGGTCATATAAACAATCATTTTATTATTAAGTATCCAGTTTATTCCCAATGCTTATTCTTTGTAGGGCTGGGGGTATACTTCAGTTTTAGAATGTTTGTCTAGCATGTGTGAAGCCCCAGGTTCTAACCCCAGCACCTCCAAAGTTATGCATCTGAATCAGCAATTTGTATAAAGGATCTTAGAATATAACCGAAGAGAGCCTTTGTTATCTATACAAATGTGAAAATAACTTAAACTAAAATACTTTCTAGAAAAAAATTAAAAGTCATATAGTACAGCTATCTGATAAATTCTAAAGTTCATATTTAGTAAATAGGTACCAGATTTTCAAATTCACTAAAACTTAGTTTTTACCACTAGATGGCCTTATTACTTAATATTTACTTCAAACACAACCATTTTGTTCTGTTCAAGAATTGTGATTTAATATTCTATTGAACTACTCAATATTTAAATTATCTTTGAGCAAATTGTATATTATTAACTTTAAATCAATATGAATTTCAATAATATATGGAAGAACAGTGAAAAAATTTCTTCATTTTGCTAAACATTAGAATTAAATAAGTTTAAAAACAGCAGTACAAAAAACCTGAGTATCCATGTGCTCTGCTTTTAACCTATTTGTAAAGAAAGTAAATTCGAGCCATTCAAGTGAATGATATGTTTTTAAACATTAAAAATCACTTATCACAAGAATCTTTGAACTTCAAATTTATTGAAGGTTTTTTTTTTTAATTTTTATATTTACTAGAAGAAAGCTAACTTAAGTTTGGAAGTCGAAAGTAAAATTAATCATGTAAGAGTACTTACATTTTTGTATCTCTTTGGCATGTTAATTTAGAAATTACCTTCAGTTATTTTCTGATTTGGTGATATTTAGTTCTAAATCCATACTGAAACTTGATTTCTTTTAACTCATAACCACCAGAATTTTCAAATAAAATGTAATCACTTTTGACACTATTTTGAAATGACAACAAAAGGCACACAAAGAACTAATGCTTTGAAGAAGGGGAGTTCTCCAAGTACTCAGATGACTTTGTATAGATTCCTTTTAAAGTTTAAGAGACAGCTATACATGTGTAAGAAAGTAACAGTTATTTCTTTTCAAAATAAATGATAGGTCCGGAACTCCTACTGTGCAGGGAAAGAAGTCTTCAGAGTTCACACATACTTTGTCGCAGTTTGAAAAACTTATGATAGTAATGACTGACTAGTCCATCTTGAAATATGTATCTATTCACTTCTGTACACTTGTGTACTTCAGGTACACAAACATCCACTTGTGAAAAGTTTCATGTGAAAACAAAGAGAAAATAAATAGTTTATATTGTCTATATACTTTAAAGCTAACATACTTTTCACATTTAAAATAGCACACACAATAGCCCATACCATTTAACCCATATCTAATAATTGGATACAACTGAGAGCTACTCAAAGCAAGGCCAAGTTTGTCAGGTTTCCTTATCTTTCATTCTAGATTCTGTCCCTAGGTGAGTTCATCTACATGTAATGCTTCACTTCATTTACCAACTATATGGACAGCTGCTTACCTGTCATCTTTCCTCCTGAGTGACTCAAGGTATTTCAAATGCAATATATTAGCCCCAGGCTCATGATTCTCTTCCCTTTCCTACTCTGACCTAGTTCTCAATAAAAATTCCAAACTTATTAAATATAAAATCTAGGTCTCTTATTCAGCCAAGGACTTCTCAGACGAGAAGTATATAGTAGGGAAAAGGATGAGTCTAGATATCTAATATTTATGCTTCCTCTCTATTGGAACTTTGCATCCCATGTTACCAGTCAGTTTCTGATTCTTTTAGGGTAGGAACAAAAGGAATGAGGAGTGGGGTACAAGAATAAAAAATTTTTTGGTGGACTAGGGTTATAGCTCAAGGCAGAACACTTGCCTGGCACATACAATGCCCTGGGTTTGATCCCCAGCACTGTAAAACAGAAATTAAAAATAACTCATTTAGGGCTGGGGATGTGGCTCAAGCAGTAGCGTGCTCGCCTGGCATGTGCGTGGCGCTGGGTTCGATCCTCAGCACCACATACAAATAAAGATGTTGTGTCTGCCGAAAACTAAAAAATAAATATTAAAAAATTCTCTCTTTCTCTCTCTCTCAAAAAAGAAAAAAATAACTCATTTATTTTGGAGGTGAGGAATAGCTTTCATGTCCTCCATAGTACCTCCCTCTCCATCCTATCCCAGATCACAGACCATGTTCTCAATCTTTACCTCTGAATATATACAATTATATATAGTATCTCAGTTTGGGATTTCACGTTTGTATATTAGTGGCTATCCTAAACAAAAGGATATTTTAAAGCATTAGAGACAGCTATACACATATTAAGCAACTGTGGTATATGGTACTTACTAACTATAGGCTACAGGCTAGCTAGTACTACAGGGGATTTAGATATCTTTATGACTTAGTCCTTATTCTTTTTGTTTGTTTGTTTTTTGGTACCAGAGATGGAAGCCAGGGGTCCTTAACCACTGAGCCACATCCCCAGCACCTTTTTAAAAATTTTTCCTTTTGAGACAGGGTCTCACTAAGTTATTTAGGGCCTCAGTAAGTTGCTGAGGGTGATTTCAAACTTGTGATCCTCCTGCCTTTAGTCATTGGGATTACAGGCATGTGCCACCATGCCTAGCACTGAGTCCTTACTCTTAAGGACAGGTCTAATGTACAAGCCTATGAATAAACAAGGAAATTCACATGAAGGAACCATGCAACTCTATATTTAAATCCAACTTTCTATAAAACCAGACTATATTTTAGATTTAGTTTTAAATTTAAAGAAACTAAACATTCTGAAGATGATAAAAGCATGTACAATACAAACCAAGCCTATGAAAAGTTTCACCTTGATTTTTTTCACTATTATATTATCATCCTCATTGCCACTGTCATTTAAAAGTTCAAGCCATACAGGAAAAGTCCAAAATTTCCAATTCTAAAATTAGAACAGTGGAGAGAAGAAATGTTGCATATCAGATCTTTCAAATGGTGAATACTCATTCATATTATTATATTCAATAACATGAGATATAGACAGCTTGCTTATTGTGACAGGAAGTAGAGACCATGGAAAGGAGACAGACTTATGTACATAAAAATGATAATACAATATAGACCAAAATGATAATTTAATAGCCATAGTCCCTTATGTATTAGATTAAAAACTCAAATATCAGTTAGAATTCCGAATTCATCTTCCCATAGAAATGAAAAGGATAATGATAAATAAAATGTCAAGCTTTTTTAGGCTTACTCTGAAATAATAACTGAGGCATCAAAGTAAAAAATTACTTAGGTTTTAATTGACATGACCAGAACATCTATCACCTCAAGGAGGAAGTACCTCCTGGGTTAAGAAAGCATGGTGTCTATCAGTTCAAATCAATATAAAGGTTCTCACATCCTACAACAATCACCTGACATATAACTACAGAATAAGAATGTGCAATTCTAGCTTCTGGTGTCAAAGAACTCCATCAAGATGATTTAAGAGAGTTTTAAAAAATTGTAAATACTATTAAATCTATTTCACTTGTAAAGAAAAAAATCCCTTAAATTCAATGGAATAAAACATTTTGAATGTTTAACACTGATTTTATATTTGTAATCAAAATTAAATTTAAAATTCAGAAAAAAAGTGTTAGAAGAGCCCAGAAAGGGGTTAGGAAAGATGTTTATCAAGGTTCCCGTGGTTCTGACTTGGGTCTAATTTGTTACCCCAGGATCCAGATTCTCAGCACTGACTTCCTTAATTCACTGCCATAGATATTCTTTATGTTGTGTTTCTGATCTTGTAATAGTTCTTCTAGTTCTGGATTCTTTCCTACCACCTGTTATCTCAGAACCAGCACTGTCCAGATTCCATGAGGAAAGAGAAAGCATGCTATCAATAGGCTTTTTAGGGGGAGATATGCTGATACAATGAACAGTTAATAAGTCAGGCCAGGAAAAGTATGGGACAAAGTTGATTGTGGTATAAAATTTAAGGAGAAACACTTTAAACGCACAAAGCCTCACTATCTATAATGATTAATATTTTTTCTTGATCAATGTTTAGCTTTCTGTTCTCACTTTTAAGTTTTTCCTTATTTAGTTTAAAAGTAGTAGCCCTGGCCAGCATGGCAGTACATGCCTGTGATCCCAGAGGCTTGGGAGGGTGAGTAGGAAGATCAAAAGTTCAAGGCTAGCCTCAGCAACATAGTGAGGCCCTAAGCAACTTAGTGAGACCCTGCCTCAAATTAAAATGTAAAAACAAAACAAAAGGTAGGGCTAGGGATGTGGCTCAGTGGTTAAGCACCTCTGGGCTCAATCCCCAGTACCAAAAAAAAAAAAAGTAGCCTGACAAGATTTTCCTCTTCCCTTAGTATTATCTGTTTTGAATGGAAGAGAAAGAAGAAACTGGTACTGTGATGGGTTCTTTGGAAGGTAGAGAAGAGGCAGGAGTAAATGGGGGAGAATATCATTACTGTGAGAGATGAGTTTTTTTAATTCAGGTAGGCAACAGCATTTATAGTGCATTTTCATGTAAACATAGATGCAAAATTTAAGAGGTCTTTATAAATATGAGGCATATGTCACCCTCATAAACAGTGAACTTTGGGATGTGCAAAAATATAAGGACATCATTAACAGACACAACCCAAAAATACAAACCAAACTGTTGTAATCTCTTAACTTGGGGGTTGGGGAAAAGGTTCTCTCTCTCAGCACCTTTTAACTAACACCAAAACAGAATAACAAGAATAGGGCATTTTGGCCTGGTCATTTCTTTTAAAGAGATACTATTTTAATTATATATAATTTCCTTCTTCTAAGGTAAGATGCAAATGACTTTTCTGATCATCTTTAATCCCAGGTAAACAATGTATTTGTGGAAGAACTGAAAAGGTGTTTCACTGCTTACTATACTTAACATCAGTACAGTACTGCTTACTTCTTTTCCACTCTGCTTTGATTCCCAGATGACATTTCCTTTTGGTTTTCTCTTACTCCTGTCTGATCCTCTTCAGTTTTCTTTTGTTCACTCTTAATACTATGTCCACCAATGTTGGTATTGCCAAGAATTTCACACTTTGTCCCATTACTCTATATAGCTTCACTGGTAGTTTCATCTCTTAGTTCTGCTTAACTCCCCTCTATTCTCTAATATTCCCAAATATGTATTTTTAGCTCAGTCTTCTTATGTAAGATCATGACAGTTATGACTAACTGACTGCTGGACAGGGCAACAGCTTTTAAATTTCCTTTTAATTTTGAAGCCCATTTTATTTTTTATTGAGACAAGGTCTGGCTACCCTTGAACTTGCCATCCTCCTGCCTCAACATCTCAAGTACCTGGGATGACAGGCATAGGCCACCATGTCTGGCTTTAATTCACTTATCTATCCCACTATGCATTCATTCTTGAAAGAAAGAACTCAGTTTTTTCTATTTGAATCACCGTCCCTAATGCAAAACCTCGCACATTATCAATGAAATAAACTAGTTCACAAATGATGGAATGAAATAGGAAAAAGACCATATGAAAGTTTTCAGGACCATTCAGATTTAGATGGACAGCAGCAGATGGCCCCAACTCCTGTTCCACACACCAAAATTTCAAAAAGGAGAAAACAGATGACAGTTCATCCAAGCAATTTGATATGATGCCCATATCTACTCCAGTCATCCCAAAGCACTTCTTATGCCGTAGAGTTTGCTATTCTTGGTCTTTGTTTTCTCCACACCCACAGGTTATTTCTCCAGACATTTGATTCCTGGTTCCAGGCTTTTTTGTTTCCCCCAGAGCCTTACTTTAATTAGCCTAGATTTGGTTTTCAGCTTTGATCATAAATAATGAAATCTCAGTTCTTTTATTACTTTGGTAGTCACAAGATAATGTAGTGATCCTTGTTTTCCTGCAGTATAGTCCCAGCTTTTTTTCAAGAATAAGTAAATTATTTATCCAGTCACATAATATTATTACTTCATTAAATGAATCCTATTTTATAATTGTAGATTTCTCTATCTGTAGTGTGACCATTTCTCTTGTTAACAACCACAATAATATTGCTTACATAACAACTATTCCACAGGCAAATGGGTCTCCAAAAGTTTGGAGTTGTGCATTCCCACAGTAAAATATTTTGACCATGATACTCTTTGACAAATATTATGTTTAGAAACTATATATGTCTGTCAATATATTAATAGATTGTATACACTGGAGAAAACAGTTCAAAGTAGAAAAATTATACAAAACAGTGAGCATAAGTCTTAATATTTTTCCTGCATCCCATAGGGCTAGGTATCTTGCCCACTCCCTCAGATACCATTCTGGAAATACGTTATCTAAACTAGTGCATCTCAACTGTTAATGTGCATATGAATTATTGGGCAGTCTTGTTTTTAGTACAGATTCTAATTTAGTATGTCTGGGGGTTGGTCTCCTAAGTGATATTAATGTTGCTCATTTAAGAAACACTCAACTTTTGAGTAACAATAATTTTTAAAAGAAATAAATGTTTAGACAAACTTATGCTGTTACTTTCCAGGAGGTAAAACAAACAGCTAATTTGAAAGCTGACTTTCTATTACCATGGGCATAATTAAGAAAAACTATTTTTTAAGCCAAATAATAATCATTATACACATTAATCAGTATCATCAAAAAAAATTATATAATCATCATGACTAGGCATAATATAGCTAAAATGAACATGATACAAAAAACTTGATTTTGTTTTCATACACTGCTTTTCTATCATCAAAGATAGCAGTGAATAGAAAAAAAGAAAATAAGGACATATTAATTAAAACATGTATTTTCATGTGCTTCCAACATGAAATTAGTAGAAAGGAAACCTGTAGTTAACACATTTATGTTAACAATTCTAACACTCTGTTTAGTTGTGACATAAATAAATGCAAAGTGAGTATGTCTAAAGTGTACTATTTTTAAAGCCTATTTTAAATTTACATAGCCTTAAAAGGTCCAAACAGTTTAAATGTTCAGGACCATACATGTGAAACTCAGGCAAATTCAGAATAATTAAGAAAGCAGGGGCTGGGGATGTGGCTCAAGCGGTAGCACGCTCGCCTGGCACGCGTGCGGCCCGGGTTCGATCCTCAGCACCACATACAAACAAGGATGTTGTGTCTGCCGAAAACTAAAAAATAAATATTAAAAATTCTCTTTCTCTTTAAAAAAAAAGAAAAGAAAAAGAAAGCAGTTTGGTCTTATTATTAGTCTTGCAGCTCCCTAAAAAAACCCTGAAGTTCCAATAACACTGACTGCATGAGAACATTTCAGTGTTGACTCTCCAATAATTTCCAACAGTCAAATACACCACACAACTAACATTATACTCAAATTTCAGTTATTTACCTTGTCAATCATTTTTCTTGCTTCCACTTCCTCACTGTTGGGATTCTCTAACTCAATGGTATATGTACCCTTGTCACTTTGGTCATCATCATTATCCTTTTCAGAAGTAGCAGAAGTAGCTTGATTTTTTAACATTTTATCCATCTCCTGGCTTGGTCTGTGCCCAAGACTCCCTGAACTTCTTAATAATGCAGTTTGTAGGAAGGGTATTGACACCGATGGCTCCTCTGATTTCTGTTTTAACAATTTCCCATGTGGAACACCATGCCCCCCTCTGTGATGCGCAGAGCTAGTCTGTAAAGACAAAGAAACCACTTTGGCATCTGCTATTGGAGATTTTGTTTTTTCAAGTTTTGTATGTAGTGTAGAGTAAGTAGTTTCCTGATACAAGACTCCTGTACTTTGAGAATATGACCCTCTTTTTCTGGTATGGTCTTCATTAAAGAATGCAGTTATAAAAGAAGTTTCACTTACAACAGCCTGGTCTTGATGCTTTTCAGGAGCCTGCACCTTCTGTAGCTTTTTCTGCTCTGAATGGTGGCGCCTTAAGTGTTCCTCAAGAGTTGCACGTTTGCTACAGCGCCTGTGAGCCCCAGCATTCTCTGAGTCACTTTGTGTACCATCATCATGTTTATTTCCTACACAGAAAAAGAGAAATCATATAATAGAGAAGAAAATAATCCCGTGTAGAAAGTTAGAAGTGCATACAAAAGTGCTATTTGTTTTGACCCCTCCCCTCCCCTTTCATCCAAAGTCATATGTTCTTTTCAGTAACAGGCTCTGAAAACTTCCCTCAATTGCAATGGTTATATTCAAATTTTATCAACCAACAATGGGGGCCTTTATAAACAACTGAATAGGACTGCTTTTCTTTCTCTAAATCTCAACTTTATAATGATTAATTGATGCCTTAGTAGATAAACGATACTATGATCTGTCATAGTTTGTATTCGTAATGTCAATAAATATTAATTTTGCCTTCAAATATTAACAATTTTAACAATAAAAATGACTTCTGCATTTGAGAGGTAGAAAGATAAGAAAAACAATGACACCGCTAAAATGATTATGCAGAAAATAAAATACAAATACCATAAAAATGTGATGTGATGATCAATATTTTCCAAAGTTCAGTATGCCTTTCCTTTTTAATAAAGATTCAAATCTGTAATTCCCCCTAATTTTTCCTATAAATTTTTTCTGTGTTGTTCTAATTATGAGAATATTTGAAAATTGCATTTGTGCTCTAAACTCTAGTACCTTAACAAGTTAAATAAAGCATTCTATCAAAGAATAGTCTATCAAATCCTTAAATAAATCTAAGCTCCTATTGGACAAATACTCAAAGGATAATAACTACATTACAATAGTATGAAATTATTAGGAAGTCTAGAGCTATTCTATACATATTTCAGAAATATGTATAGAATATTATACATATGTAAATGGACTTAAATGAAAATGTATTTGGAAGCTATAAATCAATCTAGTACACTGTAATGCACTTTGATATATTCCAATGCTTCCAGGACAAAATCTGATTTTTAAGTTTGTCTGGGTAACAAATTTTAATTTGAACACAAGCTGAATAATGTGTTACTGAACAAAATAATGATGAAAAATGAAAGACTGGAGGAGTGGGAAGCAGAAGACATGACTAATGAAACAGTTAAGTTTTAATGCCCATGAATAAATTTAGATGTCACCAATTAGTGGTAATAATTTAACTTAAGAGGACAAGTTATAAAAATGGAATACATAAAAGGAATGAGAAAACTGTAAAGAAAGAATGGCAGTACATGCAGAAAAGGGCGATGTTTTGGAAAAGTGATAGGCAAGGGAAAGAAAGGAAATGAATAAAATTAAAAAACGGGGGTTTGGGGAGTATTTCCACTAAAGGGATAGTAATTAATATTATAAAATAAGATTTGACAAACAAATCTTAAATCCTTTCTTCAAATTATTAACTACTCAAAATGAAAACTAAAAAGAAAAAAAAATAACTGAATTAATGGAATCTCTGCCTCAGATAATGAATCCAGAGGTCATGGATAGCAGGTAGAACAGAAAACCCAAATAAAACCACTAGTTCAAATACAAAATTCATTAAAAACATTAGATACATTTCAAACCTATTTCAATATTATATTGGATACACTGAAAAGGAACATAGTTTGTAAGAGCTGAAAATAATAAAACTTCAATATTTCTTGTATAAAAATGAATAACCTTTAACAAATGTGTATAAAAGTATTTTAATGAAAATATCTTTTATAGACTTTAATTTTTATTTCAATATATAAAATTTGGAACCCAGTAGTATAAGGCCCTTTCAAATATCTTTCTCTTATAGCTTAAGAATAGCCATTTTCTTTTGTTGGAAAATTATTATTCATTCTTTTATTTCTCAATGTTACACAAGACATCTGATCAGAGATCCAATCTCCTGTTTTTTACTTAAAAAGATCCCTAGCAAACTCTCCTCACCAGTTTTTTTTTTTCCTCCCTCTGCTTGTCATTAATGATGCCTAAAGACACTGAAATTTTTAAATACTTCTTAGTAGGTCATCTGTACCTCACCACTATAGCCAAAGAAGGTGCAACTCTCCTAAAGGGTGAAAGTGTATGGGCTTTGTGAACATTATTTTCCTCACTGTCCCAAAGCGCATGCACTTTACTCTTGTAGGAGCAAGATATTTTTGTTTTGTTTTGCCTACTTTGAATTTTTGGACTAATAATGAGTACTTGCTGAAAGTCTAATTTTTGAAAAATTGTTACAGACTGTTATATATTTGCATTTATTTAGAGTCTTAGTATATCATCTTGATATCCTAAACTGTATAAAACTATTGTCCAATGAAGCAGTTCAGACTTCTGTATAGGGTCAAATGCCATTTGTAAGTTAAGTCTGGAGAAATAAAATGGGTCTATCTTGGATCAAAAATGAGTTAGACTTGAAAAAAAAACATGTTTTTTGATGACTTGCAAAATGGCATAAAGTCAAATCCAAAAGGTTTCCCAGCGGCGACACCTTATTGGAATATATGTCTACCTATTTGATTGTCTAATTCCTTAATTAATTCCTTAGATATTTTAGTTTAAAAATATCTAATGATTAATGTAGTGATACAGATAATGCGGTCCTTAATGACTCTATTTGGAATTAGGCTCACAAAAGTCTTATTCAAAATCACAGAATGTTTTCAAATAATGGCTTAAAAACTTGGGAGTACAATAGAGTAGAGGAAGAAGAAGAGAGAAATGGAAGTGGGAGGGAAAAGAGGAGTGAAACTGACCAAATTTTGTTATGTGCATGTTCAAATATGTAACAAATCCCATGATTATATACAACTATAACGTACTAATCAAAAAACATCTAACAGAAAAGTTATAATGACTTTAAAAAGTTACAAAAGGATTTAACAAAGATAGTTTCAAATGGTACCCTTTTATTAATTTAGATCATACTGTATATTTGATAAGAATGATTTTTTAAAAACAATAAATTTTCAAGTCTCGTACTACCTCTTATAGTAGAGTATCAGTATTACTTATCCAATTAATATAAATCATCAGCTTACAAATGTATGGCTTTTATTGATAAGATTTAACCTATACATGCATACACAGGTCTCAATTATGTATAATAAAGTCTATACGAATTAAAGATTATAATCACATCTCAAAAGTACATATGCCAGGTAACCACTGATGACTACAGTGCTCTAATAGGCACAAAGAATTAATCACATTATCTCACTGTCCTGAAATGTCTTAGAAGCAAACCCAAAATAAGAGTGAGAGTACGATTTCTTCATTACTAGACCTCTTATAGTAGGGTATCAGGACACAAAGTAGGCATTAAGCCAGGGTCAGTCTTGCCATGGAGAATGAATTCATTCATTGTTTATTTTAATTACTCTGTACCTATCATATGCTTAAGTCCCATATAAAGTGTTAACGATACAAGTAAAATAATATATGGTCTCTGACCTCAAAGAGCCATTTTTAAAAACTCATTGACTCCTAATATACAAAAGAATGGCCATTAATAAACAATCATAATTAATTCAAAATCATTCCTTTATATATACCTTATTTAAATAAATATGTGAAAGTAATACAAATCTGTATTCAATTAGTTCTTTTAAAAAAAGGAACTGGCATCAATAGGGAAAAATGATCAGCTGATACCATTAGCATTTAATTATAAAGTTTTGAATATGAACATTCAACTACAATTCTCATAAAGTTTAAATACTGAAAAAATTTTAAATTAGATTAATAAGTATCCAGTAAATATTTGTAAACTCAAGTGTTTCTTAAGTAACCACTAACAACAATTTGAAGTACTCCATCAACAATGTGATTATATTATCCAAGTAGAACTCTTAGCCCATACCTAATGGCTTAAAATTTCTTTCAAAATCTAGATATTGATATTTAGAAGTATCATAAGAGAATAAAACTGGATATATTTTTTCCTTAAACAAAAGAAGTGATGGGAATTGTCTTTTAGGAAATTCCACTGATGCACTAAATTAATTTGATATTTCCATGGGGGGGGCATTTAATGGCATATATAAAAATTCACAATATGGTTTTGGGAAGAAAATGAAGAAAGACTATTGTGAATAAAAGTTGGACATGAGCAGTGTGGTTTGCTTTTGAGCTTTAAAGTTAAACATAAAGTTTGAAAAAGCAGATGTCTTCTACTATATATTTACTTACTAGTAGTTTGCTAACTATGAAAACTGAATTTTCTTAATTATACAATAGGAAGTTCTGAAATGATCATTCACTTTACCTTTCAACCTTTTCAAGTACACTGGAACATCGCTTTTTATACTTTTGGAATCCTCTTCTGTTCTTTCCCATACCATTTGAGGAGGGTTGTTTTGTGCTAGCCAGTCAGCTACTTTGTTTTCTGGAGCCATCATTCCTGTTTGAATTCCTGGCAAGTCTTGAGTTCCAGGAGATGACTTCTTTGACTTGTGGCGCTGATCAGAAGTAAATTTTGTCACATGGTCTCTAATAGTTACCTTCCCTGGGGTACTGTCATCAAATTCAATGGTAAATGAAGCATGCCCTGCACCTGTTGTATGGGAACTTGGTGTGTCTTTTGTTGGGATTTCATGAATAGTGCTCTCTGTTATTTGTGAAGGTTGCTGGAATTCTTTTGTAGGGATTTCAAAATAACTTGGTTCCCTACAGAAAGGAAAAAGTACATCTTCATTTGCAGCTGCAGACTGCTCCTCAACTTGCTTGGCATCTATGCTGCACCCTAATGAGAAAAATAAGAGAGAATTCAAAATATTTGGGGGTTTCTAGCATTTGAAGGAGACTGACAATGACCAGTGCATTATTTTGTAAGGATCAGAAGGCAGATCATAGTCTGGATGAAAAACAATGGCATTCTATCATAGGAAAAAAAAATGTAACAGAGAAGAAAGAACTTGATTATAAACATGCCATTTAACTAATAGGAGATGCAAGATAAGAAGTAGTAATAGCAAAGGATAGTGAAGCAGTGAAGAAGTGAACTTTTCATGGCTAGGTCCATAAGTTTTCCAACTTGGATCTAGAAATTATCAAGGTACAAAAGAAGTGAAATCAAATGGGGCTGGAGATTCAAGTTCTAAAGAAGAATAAATAAATAAATATTTATATTTATATATATATATGAAGAGCATGGATTTCCTTATCAAGTCAGCAGGATGAGATGTCTGAAACATCTTTAAATAAATGTAGAGCTCCATTGGAAAACAGATACTCAAATGAGGATATAAAGTAAATATGTAAGTCATGTTTTAGAAGTAATGATTCCACTTACCATCATTTACCATTACATTTAGAGACATGACTTTTAGAATGACAGAAATATTACTGATACGTGATTCCTGGAAGAAGACAGACAATCTTATAAAGACAAAAAGAGTAAAGATAAAACATGTGGTTTGCATAACAGCATAGCAATCCAAGCAGCAATATGAAAGAAAAAATAAAAAATAGAAAATTCAGTTGCCTGCCAGTAATCCAGAAGAAAATTAGTTTACATTTCTATACAGTTGAGTATGTACAAGTGTTAAAAATATTTGAAGGAAAGCTGAATTATAAGCCTCAGATTATTAACAAGATGGCAAGCAGAAGGAACAACCAACCCTGGAACACTTTCACTTTTCTTTTGTTGCCTCAGAAACTAATATAAAGGTATGAAAAGAGATGCTTTATAATAAAATACATAAAGGTATATAAATGAAAATGACAGCTAAAATGCTATTTTAAGTACATATTTTAAGTATTTATTAGAGAAAGCAAATGCAAAAGAAAAAGTTTGATTAAATTGCCCTGTTGCTGAGATGGTCTATTACCAAGCAAGTTCAAATGAAATATGTTTCTCTGCTCAAAAATCCATTCTGGTTTTAAACAGACTGATAGAAAAATTGTGTACAGAAAATTTATTAGAAAGAAAAGGTAATACAAGGAAATTATGTTGTTTCTAACCCTTAAATTAAGTGAACTGACTGGTCTTTTAAAATACATGTTAAATTTTAATTCATCAGGTGTTAAATAATTGACTTCTTAACAGTACTCTGAATAAGAAATAATCATAAAAACATATGCTTTTAGGTTACAAAAGAATGGGACATTAACATCTCCATGTGCTAATGTGTGGGAAAGAAAACATAAAGCTCCAATTCCAAAATAGTAGTAGTAGTAAGCTGCTCTCACACACACACACACACACACACACACACACGGCTAAAAAGAATGCAAAAGAAATATCTAAGAATAATAATTTTCAGTGTAAAATTATCTTTTCCTAAAACTACTCAATTTTGCTCACTACTGAAAATGGAAGGATGATACTGGGGAAAACCCAACATTAACAGAGCAAGGTACAATCAAGAGCAGATAAATGGCCTCAAAAACATTGTATTCCAGTACCACTCAATATATACTAGGAAGCCTTACATATTTCAAAGGCTTCTGAGGACATCATTGTAAGATATCATAATTCAACAACTGATATAAATAACGATGATTCTGAGTTAAGAGAAAAAATTTACACTATACTCAGACTTCTTTGCTCAAGTAGTGATAGGGGTACATGCATTTAACAGTAACTTAGGAAATGGTTAAACTTTTTAAAAACTGTCTGTTGTAAAAGTGAAGTTTGATCACCTGGAAAATTCATTATATGTAGTCAGATTCATTTCCCTGAAGATGATAAAACAAATGAAATGTGTGGTCCTATTAAAAATGCCTAAAAGCAAAATTAATAGGGCTTACGAATTAAGATAGAAAAAAAAAAAAACAGCTTTCTTCTTTAGGAATATTGACAACATAGTTTGGAATTTATGAATTTAACATTCATTTATCTTTTAAAAGTCATTTTTGTTATATCAAATTAAACTATATAATATACTAATTATTTGTTTATATCAATATTTTAGTAATCTCAACTACTAGGTTTTAAAAAATTATCTAACAACTGATTATGTTAGAATTAATTCTGTATATCTAAATCAGAAAAGCAACTGGTGATAACTTGCTTATGCTCTGAGGGTATTTTATGACTGGGTGATCTATCAGGGATACTTATAATGCATTCTTCTGTACTAAACTAATATTCAACTAATTTAAAATCACAGACTATAATTATCATGGCTCATTCTGCTTTAGACATCTACCCAACCTAGCCTAGTGAAGTATTTCAAATTATGATTTCTGTGAAACTCCTTTTGCTAAAAACAAGTTACAACTTAAAAGCCTCCAAATTTAGTTTGACTGGATTTTTAAAAAATCACTGTAAAAAGAGTCAAGAAGCTACTACATATAGTATACATGCCTTTTCAAAATGTATACAATATTTAAAGAGCCTTTAAATTAATGTTGAGACCAAAGATTGAAGAACACAGCTATAACTACATTGAAGAAAAATTTTCTTTAGTAGGATTGAAAATATTCACAGAATTTCAAGAAAACTGGCTTGCTCTAATGTATACATTTGCTTCTAAGTTTTTTAGACTATGTGTCAAGTTTTTAGGAGATTCTAGACATGTGGACGCACAGAGGGGGATATAAAAAATGATTAGTAACAGACAGGTTTTAATCCTTTCTGAAATATTCACCTTCCATAGTAAGTACCAAGTTTTTAAATTCTAAAAATGGGTATCCAAAAAGGAAATCACTTTTTGTTTTTACTGAATGAGTATACTTGGAGTATAAGTTATTAAATTGATCATTTATATTCCATAATTTGAAACTTTTTTTTAAAATTTAAATTCTTAAAAACACTTTAATTTCAAAATAATCAAATTTAATAACAGTTGATACACATTTCAAACCTGATTTTATAATTTCTGATGAATTCATAGATTATTCCAGTAAGTAAACCTCATCCTATCTTTTAATAAACTGCAAATGACAAATATTAAATGGTATTATCCTTATACTAAAATGACAAAGCAAGCAATACTCTCACTGAACTATTAACCAACAGAATCTGATGGAGCGCAAGACATTAAAAAAAAAAAAAATTCCTCTCTACCAGGTGGCTCTAGTGCACAATGATAGCATGATATGTGATACTTGAAGAAAGGAATTTAGAGATAAGTTGTGGAGAGAAGGCTTACTCAAAAATCATGAATTAAACAGTATCACATATTAGCAATACATATATACAAATACATCATTTAGAATTTTATATTATTCAATGTCTGTGTGTATTGAAACCTGAGGGAGAACAGAACAGGCAGGAATTAGCATATTCTCTCCCAAATTGGAAGAGAACACTATAACAACTGATACTGGGATATAAGGCCCTCTAGAAAAAGTAGAGCAAAATTAGAAAGCTCTGATACATAAAACTTAAAAACATTAAAATCTATTTGGCAAGCAAATGGGAGTCAGTGTAGTTTCTTGAAAAAAATGAAATAAAGATCAGTTTAGCTTTTTAGGGCCCAAACTTAAGTTAGAAAGTTCAATTATGACTTGGTGGGGACAAAAAGGCAACAGAAGCAGGTCGTATATTAGATTGATAAGGTGAAGAAAAGGGAAGACAAAAACTTTCAAATAAAGTAGACATTCTTGATTGTCTTCCAGTATCTTTTTCCTGTTCCTTCTTTCTAAAAGAACGCCAACATTCTCCGGTATCCACTCTTCCCTGACACAGCTCATGTGCTTTAGGGGAAAAAAAACTCCACACTCAGCTTCAAGGCCAACAAGAGTGGTGTACAGATAATCTCCTATGTCTCACCAGGGACAGGTTCATTAATAAGCAGGTGACCCACTTCTGAACCTGTGCGAGGCCAATGAGAAGACAGATGTATTGAAAACTTTTAGGAATGTTCTTCTTCCACATTCTTTGAGGTCTTCTGGAAGCAACCTTTGTTCTTTTCTGCTGGATATGATAGCATTTACCCTTGACTGGTAGGCAACCTGAGTATGAGGGGAAACTCCCTCAGTATGCAACTATTGTGAACAGTTAAGACTGAAAGATGGAGAAACTAGCTAGATGATAACAGTGTTGAGATGATAGTGGTATTCAATCATGTGAGTCAGTAAGTCCTTCTTGTTTAGTACCAGGAAACAGTTCTGTTATTTACATTTGAAGAAATGTTAAATACTAAATAATAATACTTCATGGTTGGGTGTGAAGTAAACTGTGTTGGTGATAGAAACAAGGAAACTGTGATAGAAATTTAGTTTACAAAGTTGACAAATTCAGTTTGGGGCACAGTAAGATTGAGTTGATAATGCCAGGTTTCTTAAGATTTTTGTGTCCTGGCCTAATAAAAGCATATCTAAAGAAACAGCATTCTTAATTCTCCAACTAAGAAAACTGTCTCACTTATTTTGTAGAACTATGATCAAAGGTAGAACACTGAAAAACTTCGGATGAAATTATCCTTGTCTCTGTCAGACTAAGTCTTCCATACTGATCCCAGGTGCCAGTTCTGGATCTTAATCTCTTGTTATCACAGAAATTGGCTGTTCAATCCTTCTGTTCTGATGTCTTTTCAATGTCCGTATGTGACAAACAATTGACACCTCCATTTATTTCCTGGAAATCTTGATCTGGTTTATGAACACTTAGTTCACCACTGAACTACTTCATCAACAAAAGATATATTCTTTGATTACTATTCTGAGACTCTGACCCAGAACTATTTCTTCATTCTTGAAGCTGAACATGGTAATCTTATTGCTACTATAATCCCAACAAATTGAGAATAGTGACGTTTTAAAGAAGCTATAATTTCATATCACATTTCTGAACATCGTAGAAATTGTTATGTTTGTGAATCTAATGAAAAGATAAAATCCATTTGTATCTACTACCTTGGTTAAAATTCATTTTAATAATTACTTTAAAATATGTAAAATATCCAGTTTATTAATCTGTCACCATTGAACAATCTCATAAACTAGAAAAAAATACTTTAAATAAATTACTTTTTAAAAGATTGAAATTAATAATTTGAGAGTCACTCATAAATAAGAAATTATATTAAAATAATAAGGACATTAAAATAGTCATCGACCTTTTTTTTTTTTTAAATCAAGCTTTAGAGTAGCAGATCATCTCTTTTCAGAGTAGACAGATTTCTGCTTAGACTACAAATGATTCCCAAAATATCCATGTAATGTCATAGTCATTGAGATATTTTTACCTGATGTTCCAGTTTCATGATTTTTTTCTTCAGCTTTGCCATTTGACTTGAAGTCTATTTTTTCATCCACTTCATCATCCCCCCACCATGACGGCTGTCCATATAATGGAGTACCACGGGGCATAGCAGAAATATCTGGAAAGAGGTAGGAAAAAATCTGCCTAAAGTAGATGAAACAACAACAAATGCTTTCACAGAAGGCTAGAATTGTCTACTTGATTAATCAAGTGAAAAAAAAATCCAAAATGTAATCTAGATAGTTGAAAAATACCCGACAAGTAACAACACTATTGGTGTAATACCTTACAGAATGTTGGACACAACTAAATAAGTGAACATTAATATTGGCTGATATATATCTAAGCAATATCGTAACAGCTTTTTGTTAAAGTGTTGAGTTCTTTGGTATATAAATGAACCACTTAAAACAAATAGCTTTTGACTTGCATATTTAGACAAGAAATGGTCCCAGTACAAGATGTTTTGTTGAAAGTAGGCAAAAACCAAAGAGGGTACAGTAAAACCAGTCTCATCAGAAATGTCACTGATGCCAAATACAAAAGATTAAACTAGAGTAAATTTTGTCATGAGTAGCCATTTTCTAATTTTTTTAAAGCCTAATGGGAATAGCATAGTAACTATATTTAGTTTTTAGCAGAATATATTTCTTATTTGGACAAATATAATGTCCATTGATTTCAAATTGTTTGTTTAAATGAAATTATTTACACAAAGCATTTTCATAGTTTTTTGACCTGTAAATTATACAATAATATTATAATGATGGAGGATTGGATTAACATTTTTTCTTCTCTTTCAGTTGTTATAATTCAGAAAAATGCAAACAAACATGAAATAAAAAATATTATTGTAAACTACAATTAAATGCAGCATTGGCTGCATTATGAGGCACTCTGAAAGTATCATGATTATAAATTATTTTGATAAGCAAGTGGCCAATCTTTTGAGAACAAAGGATATAATTTCTTCAAAATCAAGTATAAATATGGGACTTTCAAGAGGTTAGCTTACCTGAGGCTTTTTCCTCAGTTTTCAGTGCTTCTGTAGGCTTGTGCTGCACTTCTGTAGGTGCATCTGCCACCTTTGAATCTGTGATTTTAGCACTTGCAGATTTTGACAATTCTGATGATTCTGAAGATTTCTGGGACAACTGAAGCTGAATGGTAAACTTCTCATGCTATAAAATACATTTAGAAAAGGAACTGAAACATCCATGAATAAAATCAACACTAGTGAATGGAAGATTGAAAAAAGGAAAAACTTTTACCTTAAGGGCTTCTTCAGGGACCCTCATTTCTCCTCTTACTACAGTAAAAAGATTTGTATGTAAACGGGGCTAAGGAAAAAAAGGACTTCAAAATTCTGGTAATCAAGCTTAAAATGGCCATCAAATGTAATTAGAAACTGTCCTATTTCAAGACTTATTACAGAAGAATTACAGAATTTTCCTTAACATTAAATGTTAAAATACATTTACAATTATAAAATTTTCATTTAAAAAATTTTTGTTGTTGTTCTTACTTAAAAACAGCATACTACAGGGACACAGCCACATCAATGTTTAAAGCAGCACAATTCACAACAGCTAAACTGGAGCCAACCTAGATGCCCTTCAGTGGATAAATGGATTAAAAAAAATGTGGCATATATAATAAAAGAGAATAAAATCATGACATTAATACCAAGTGAAATTAGCCAATCCCAAAAAACCAAATGCCAAATGTTTTCTCTGATATAAGGTGACTAGTTCATAGTGGGATAGGGAGAGGGAGCATGGGAGGAAAACTCTAGATAGTGCAGAGGGGTGGCAGGAAAAGGGAGTGGGCAGGGGGTGAGCAATGATAGTGGAATGTGATGGACATCATTATCCAAAGTACATGTATGAAGACATGAATTAGGGTGAACATACTTTATCTATAGAGATTAAAAAAATTGTGTTCTACGTGTGTAGTAATAATTGTGATGCATTCCACCATCATGTATTTAAAAAATAAAAGCAATTAAAAAATTCTTTTGTTGTTGTAGATGGACAGAATACTTTTAATTTTCTTTATTTATTTTTATGTGGTGCTGCTGAGGATCGAACCAGTGCTAGGCAAGTGCTCTGCCACTGAGCTGCAGCCCCAGAACAAATTTTTCATTTTTAAATACTAAAAATCTTAAAATTCAGCAAGTACTTCTTACATTAGGCAGTACTAGACTTCAAGAAGAAAATAAGGGTATTATTAATCAGAGCACAAAGACATTTTTAATTTTCACAAACAATATGACATGATTACAATGAAGAAAAAAGCACCTGGATCAAATTATATTGACAGCAAGACACCCAAAAATGCAAAAATGTCTCACAGTGATTACCCAACAGCAAATCCTAAAGTAATTTGATTACTCTTTGATAAGCATAATAAAAATGAAGTTCACTTTGCAAATGCAAAATAAGTGCTATAATGAGGGATCATAGAGCAACCACAACTACCTCTTTGCTCTAGTATTGCATCAGGATCATATTACATTATCAAACAACTGATTGTATACAAATTAAACCCAAGTGCTAGGGATAATGAATGCTTTCATTATGGTGCCAAAAGAACAATGCTTCTGTATATTAAAAAGATCTATTCACTAAAGAGTAGAGGTCACATTTCCCAACATTACTTAACCCTGTAATGAAAGAACCTTTATATCATATACTAAATTCTATTCTTTTTTATCAATTCAATGCACTCAACAATCACTCCAAGGAAGGAATTACTATTGACTACTTGGGGGGAAAAGACTTCCCAAGCATAATGGAAGCTGTATACATTTTAACATATAAAGTGAAAATTCTGAAATTTTTAGAATTTTGTGGAGCTTTGGAAAATATCCTGCTTAATTTTGTTAATCTTTCTTAAACAGAATCTAGTCCAGGATTTCCTTTCATTTTATATTTCTTCTTAGAGCTTTGAAATAATTTTTTTTTTCCTTTCTGTCAGGTACCTAAGCTGATGCATATGGAAATATATATCTTTTAACTAAGTATTTTTATTAAAAAAAAAAGTTTAGTAACTGTGTTTTAACCTCAAAAAATTCATGAGCAGCTGAAGAATATTCATAGCATTCCTATTTTTTCAATGGAAAAATAATATTTTAAAAAAATTGACAGTCATTTCTATTTATTCAATGGATTTAGCTTATTATCAGGACTTTCTGGTATTTTAGGTTTACTTCCTGTAAGTGCTTGATAGTTTTCCCCCAGGGAATCCCTTAGGCTTAGAGATTAGAAACATTTTTCAGGCATGGAAAAATTAAAGGGCTATCCTTAAGTGCAAATACTTTCCTTCCAAAAAAGGTTCCTGTGTGAAAATGAAGATGATCTCAAAGAATCCTCTAGTTTACATCATGAATTCACCTGAGAACTGTGGTAAACTACTTTTGAGACTGCTCTAGCTCCAGTTTTTATCTCCCAAACTACCATCTTCTTACTGATGCAAACCTAAGAAAGTTGTTTTTGTGTTTGTTTTATTTGTTTGTTTGTTTGGGTACCAGGCACTGAACTCAAGAGCACTCAACCACTGAGCCACATCCCAAGCCCTATTTTGTATTTTATTTAGAGACAGGGTCTCACTGAGTTGCTTAGCACCTCACTTTTGCACAGGCTGACTTTGAACTTGCGATCCTCCTGCCTCAGACTCCCCAACTACTGGAAGACAGTTGTTTTTTAACTTGTTAATCGGGGAAAATGACAAACTGAGGAAAAAAATTTTTTTAAATTACTTGTGATATCAAAAAATTTAAAGGCCTATAAAAAAATTTATTCCAAATCATAATTTTTATAGATTTCTCCAGTTTTTTATGTAAGATTATGATTCCTATTCTAAATCAATCCATGATCAATTTATTTAATAAATGTTTAAACAACAGTAGGATCACGGAAATTCATCTGCATACTTGTAAGTTTCTCTTAAGATATTTTCCTTTTACTTTAATGACAAAACTAAAACCAGAGAAATTTTTTAACAGTTTTAGTCATTCCTAGGGATATGTCCTTAAAACATGGAATGTCAGATATCATTGTGAACACATCTTTCAAAACCATTTCAGTCATTAGGCTGTTCCATTAGGGAGGTGTAAACCACTTAGAATAAATAGGGAACAAATATTAATTTAATTTTCCTAATATTACATAATGAACCCTTATTGATAGAGAGCAGATTTTCAGTAAATTTCAAAATATAATTATGTAAATTTCATAATTTACATAAATATAAATATAATCTTTTCTGGAAAACTCTCACTAAAAATGTGATTCTCATAAGTTGAAGACACTGTTGTCAGATAAATAAGAATACTCGAATAAAATTATATAAGAATGGAAATATGTATTTTTATAAAGTGATATATTATGTATATGTAAATTTAAAATATTAAAAATATAAGAAGGAAAACTTTAAAATGTCTCATTAAAAGTTGTCCAAAAACCTTTTCTTTTTGGATCTTCTCATTAGTAATGTTGGAAATTTCTATTATTTACCTGTAACTGATAAGGAAATATACAATTAAGTCAAATTAGATGCTACACTCAACAAGTCTGATCCCAGGAGATGCTAAAGGTTTATAAAGCACTAATGGCAGAAAACTTCTGAAGGGAAATATTTACCTTTTTCTTTAATTTTGTCATACTTTCAGAAAAAAAATTTTTATTTTTGCACATAAACATCTTTCCAACTTGTAGAAGACCCTGTTCTACAGAAACATAGTTTTCAAAGGCCTATTTTTAACTTTTCTTCTATCACTTTATTCTTTTATCCAATAGCTCTTTAAATTTCTTAAATTTTGTTTTTTTAAGCTTTGAGAAATGTTATTTTTGAAATTTATAAAGTGTGTTCCTAATCTATTGTGGATTATCAACCATATAAATCAGGAAAAATCTTAACATCTTTGAATGAAAAATTCTAATATTTAATTATGATCATTTTAGCATCTATTATCTGAATTGCTCAAATAGTGCTACATGTAATGCTTTAACAATGTTTTCATTTTATTATTTCCATGTTTCTAGCATGATTAACCTAATCATTTTGTGGGCTGTTATACAGCAATGAAAAACTTCGTTGGAAAAATATATGATTCCCAATTTAAAAGAAAATTTAATGACTTATATGATGGGGATAATGCTAGGGAAGGATCTTGCAATTTAACATTTGTAACCAATGTTTAAATAATTTCAACCAAATGTGTAAACCATACCATACTCTGATTTTCTCCTCATTTAGAAGTAATTCCTTTTTACCTTTTTCATATGTTTTGTTTTATTTTTGGTTACTCATCTCACCTACCTCTTAATATTGGATGTATCAGGTTCAAGTCCTTGGACCTCTTACTAATTTATATTCATCCTCAATGACTGCATTCAGTCTCAAGGTTTTAAGTGTTATTCATAAAATAAAATTTCCAAATTTTTGTTAACCTGCACTTCTCCCCTGGATTCAACTGGTATGTACAACATGTCCAGAATCAACCTCTCAGACTTCTATTTTTGGAGAAAATGAAGTAAAAGGAACCAGACTTACTCTCCTACCTAAAACTAACAAAAATTGACAAAATATATGGTTTAATAGACAGCCGACATCAGATTACAGGACAATGATCCATGAGAGAAAGGTAAACAAATCAAAAGTGAGCCCATTAACTGCACTAACAAAACATCCAGAGAGTTTCAAGGTCACACTGCAAGAAGTAGTAAGCCAGGCAGAGAGGAGCAGACCCCCTGAGTAGTAGAGGAAATGAAGCTGAAGGGTTAACTACTTAAGAGAAGCTGCATACAGAAAGAATTCCACAGACCTTCAGAGAGTTTCACTCAAGTACTCAATTTAATACTGATCAGTTTATGAGGAATCTACCTAGGGCTATGGCAAGAAAATATCTCTGTTATAACTATTCAATTGTGCTGTGGTAAAGCAGCTATACAAATATGTAAATTAGGGGACATGGATGTGTTCCCATAAAACAGGCTGAGGGCCAGATTTTGGTCAACAGTTGACTTCTGCGGTATATAAAGTATATAGAAAGGTCTTGACACAGTAATATGGAATAAGTAGCCCAGACTAATCTTAGAAGCCCAGCAAATCTTTAAAAAAGACCCAAAGTGATAAATCTACTTCTAAGTAACTTTTGTCACAGAACAGAGCTTAAAACTATTTATAGGAATACAAAAATAGGCATATAGCACTCAACAAGGTGAAATTAACAAGTCAGCCACCTAATAAAAATTATCATGCATTCAAAAACATCAATTGCAATTAACTTAAAACTGATACAAATATGAACAAAAATGTTAAAAACAA